TATGACTGACTTTGAAAGGAGAGCACGAAAGGCAGGGATTAGGGGTCAGGTCTGCGCCAGCAACCTGCATTGGAAATCCCGAGAGTAACTAAAGAGAGAGATGTCAAGAATCAACCAAAGCTTCCTTTCAGAGCTCCCTGATAAACTGCGATATGAAATTTAATAAAGGCATGAATATTTCCTCTCATCGTTCTTATCTTTGGTGCAGTCTTGCCTGCTTCAAAGGCTTGAGCTGTGTTAGCCTCACACTGCAGGGATCTGAGGGATTCCATGGCAGGGCCGCTTATTGTCATCATTCACCTCACGCTTTTGCCTGCTCTCTCACTCTTTCTCTCCCCCACGCTCTCACCCTCCCTGGCTCCTCTCCTCTCTGAGAGGAAGGCTGCTCTTGTACGATACTGAGGCATTACACATCACTGTCAGGAAGGTGGGCCATGCTGTGTGCCCAGAGGCCAGATTGGATTTGAATGGAAGATGTGGGAATGGAATGATTGAGAGGGAGAGAGAGAGAGAGGAGTCTCCGCAGAGGTGTCAGACAGAGAGTGATGGAAATCCAGCTGCGATGGAGCACCCCGAAGAACTGAGGGGAAAGTGGAGAACAGAAAAGAAACAAAGAAAAAGAAGTGCAATCTCCTGCTAAAGTGAATATGGGAAATTGAATAAAGAAGCAGACCCAAATATACGCTCTTATTACCCTAGGGAGGGTTCTTTCTGGTGTAGAAAGAACCGGTCCCTCAGCAGTTATATCAAGCCCTCTTTCTATTCGTACTCCTGCAGCAGTCTTCTGCTAACTAAACAGTTCTCTTAAGACCGCAAGTGACAAATCGCTTTGTTTCTGTGGAGGTGGCAGGGTCTGCATCGCTGCATTGCTGATGTTTGTTGGTACACTCTGGCTCTTTGAACCTGCTGGAAGCCCCCTGCTGTGCATGGTCGAGTGTAACTTCACTCTTCGCTCTGACTGACCTCGTTCAGGCCAGTGACACTCAGTCATTATATCGCTTTTCTGGAATACAGCGAGGCATGGAGCTAGAGCTTGGGGCATTATTGCTGCTATTCTGCATGGATGAATTTGGTGTGCCCCTTGACTTAGGCTGCGTTTACACAGCAGGTAAAAGTTGTCCCAAATCTGATTCCTCACCATGGCTGTTCACAATATCTTTTAAAAGTGATCTATATGCGACATTAGTCTGAACAGATCACACTCCTAAACTGACCTGATGCACAAAAGAACAATGCTTCACTTTGCTTCACGTGGCGCGCTCATCCTGAGATAAACAATCATGACTGCCAGCAAATGGCAGTCGCTCCCAGAGCTTTCAGTTTCATCTTCACCAGCATCACAGGAGCCATCATGAAGCTTCACTGACTGACAGCTGGGCTCATCACCCAGAATGTGTTCAAGCTCACTATAAAAAGGGCACAGTCATTTCTTTGGTTCATGTCCTTGGATTCTTTAAACTTTACTTTCAGCCTTTTAACTGTTCTTTTACGCTGCTGCCTCGTTCTCCTACAGCCGCGTTCGGCCGTTTCTTTGGAAATCTCTTCAAACATGCAGAGGTTTGGATAAGCCTCTTTTAATTTTTTTGTATAGAAACATCACCCCAAATGTTTGAGGTCTGAGCAGCGCAAAATGAATGAATAATGTCAAGTTGGATTGACGTAAAAGTCACATGAATTCCGATCTGGCTGTTCAGACTGAGTCATTGCTGCATATGGATACATATCGGATTTCAGTCCCACATATGAAGGTGTCTCAAATTGGAAATTGAAAATGTCAGATTCAGGGTGTTTTTTACTGTTTACACTGCCCTACAGATAACGCATCTGTGTCACATACGAAGAAAAAGATTGGATTTAGGCCACTTTTACCTGCTGTGTGAACATACCCTTAATGTTGATTTGGGGCTTCTTATTGCTCTCAATAAGTGCTGTGTCAGCTGAAAACATGTACAGCTATTGTGATCTGGGATTTCTTAAAGTTTCTCCACCTGGGAGATCTGAGCTGTTCTGTCCTTCTTTCCTGTCACCACTATGAAGAAAAGGGAGGGCAAGGGAGGGAAGAGTATCAAAGGATTGTGAACAAAGAGTCTGCATGGAAAAAAAATTGCAGGCCTCACAAGCTTTAAGAGGTATTACTTAGTGCCGCTCCTGTGCTGGCAGCTGAGGCTTGTTCAGAACGAGGGATTCTGGCACTGATTGGAGGGGGGGTGGTGAAGGGGGCGGCAGGGAGCAGGGGTTTGACAGCCCGAACCTCGATCGGGAAAGCTCCTGTCAGACTCCCACACTCTTCCCCGTCCCGTTGGGAGGGGGTGAGTCCGGATAACAGCAGAAAGAGAGCGCGCAAAGGAGAGACAAGAAAGACTACGGAGGGAGCAGGCAGAGGTTATTGGGTAATTCTCTGCTGGCAGAGGGGGGTGGAGACAGTGGCAGTTAGAAAGTCATGGACGTGATTTGCTCCTTAAAGCTTTCTTAAGTTGCTCTCTCGCACAGATACTCCATCCGTTCTCAGCTTAAATTGGAGACAGAGCAGGTACATCATGACCTTTCTGGTCGCGAGAAGTCCAAACACACTCAGCAGCTTTCTGCCTATTATTAAGACAATTTTTGAGTGCTGGATACTCCTCAAAGTACAGCCTCTCTCCCAACATTAATTTTAATGGTATGTTGTTCTCCACCTGTCCCAATTAACTCAGTATGCCTTCCACTGTATTTCGTGAAATGTCTTCAGCCTGAACCACAAAGGAGCTAGCAGGTTCTTTCTTTTCTTTTAGGTGTAGAGTCTGTAGCTACTCTTTGCAGAACATGCAGGATGACAGCCAAAAGGGCAAAGTTGTGCCCTTTTGTGCATGTTGTCATTGTCTGAACAATGCATATCAGTTGTGAGAAGCATTCCCTTGCTAGCACTGCTGCGAGTACAGTCTGTGTTATGCAGGACGTCTCCCTGCTGAGTTTGAAGCCTCAGATTGTGGTTGGAGTTGCTGAGGCTGGAGCTGCTGGTGGGGTTGAGCTGCACTAGCTACAGGCCTGTCAAGAGCGTAGAGAGAAGGAGAGAGTGAGCGAGAGAGTAAGCTGGAGATCAGTGGTTGCAGCTGCCCAAGAGCTCTCATAGCCAGAAAAAGAGAAAGAACAGGCTGTCTCTGTCTGCATGGCTGCTGCATGTCACCCAGCATACATGATCCACTCACCATGCATGTGCCAACCAGGGTAAAACCTCTCAGTATAGCTGGATAACCTAAGACAAAGAAGTGAGGATTGTCCAGTAGGAACGTTCCTTACATCATCAGCTATTAGACAGACTGAGCTTTAATCAGTAAAGCATTGAAACATGTTTTTCTCCTTTTGTCAAATGTCCATTTTTCAGGTAACAGTAGGTCATGCAATGTCAGAATCCACATAAGCAAGTCTGTATGAGATTTCTTAACAACCCAGAGGTTGATGATGATTTAATGGATGCGTTGCGTTTGGCATGATGCTATTTAGCAGATATGTTAGAAGCTCCCATTACTTGTTAATTACATTAGACTTGCAGCTCCAGCTCTGCACAACAAGTATGTCTTGGCTGATTAGCTATATTTGGGGTAAAAAAAAACGTGTAATTTTGACTATCATGTTGTCAAGTAAACTGAGAAATCCTGCTTTGTGAAATATCCTCCAGGGCATTGCAGCACATACAGAATCCAAGAGGAATGCCTGTTTCTCTCTCCTCACCTCCTTCCGCTCCCTTCTCTTTCTTTGCTTGGGCTCATGTGTGCAGCATGTTGAAGCTTCTTTTCTATGGGGGCCTTATATCATGCCCCTCTATTCTCATCCGCACACTTTGCCTATATTTAGCTCCTTGGGGCTTCAGCAATATGACCGCACATCATAACAAAGCACTTAACGTGGTCTGCGGCGTGAAGAGGCATGTAAACTAGTCTCCCTCTCACAGTAAAGGCTCCCCGCTGCACCGCTAGATCTCTCCATTTCTATTCCACACAGCAACTCTCTCTCCTCCCGCCCGCCCTTGCTTCTGCCATCCGTCTCCAGCCCATTCTCAGTCCCTCTCTTCTATCAGCTGTTGCACAAACACTCTTGCCATAGGCCTGTCGTCCTCTGTCAGAAACCCTATTCTTTATCTAGCCAGTAACAGCGAGTGGAGAAATATGGCTGGAAATGACACGGGCTTGGCAATAAAACCGTGACTGATGGCTGAAGCACCTTTTTGTGGACTTTTAACGAGCCATTTGTTCTTTCATTTTGACATTTGTGCTTCCCTGGCTGGTCAACTTTGCCAGTAGTAAAGAATTTTCAAAGTACAATGTGTGTCTCCTCTCTCATCTCCCCTGTCTTAGGGAAGTAAAATCTTAGGATTTTACTTTTTATTGCTTGCGGATGATTAAATATGTGTTGATATGAGCTGTACTGAAAAGAAAAGCTCTCTAACAGAATTGTGTCTGCACATTACAGTCATTAAGTTTGTTTCCCACTGTCTACTATTCATATGAGGTTTTTGCTATTATTTCCCACCCATCATTATTTATGCAAAGCTTCTTTTAGCAAACATTCCTATCATAACAGATGGAGCATCTCAAAAATAGCGACTTTATTTCATAATTCAGAATCTCAATGTAACATTGTAGCCTTTTGTTTTATTATTCTGAAGAAAAAGGATCATATGAGAACACTCAGATTTGCATGTCAGACCAGTGGAACCGTTATTGAATGACGGTACATACACATGAACAAATGGGTCCTTTATAAGTGCTCTCAGTCATAATACTCCTTTCTGTTCATTTTCAATTAATGTTCAGTCACAAGAGGACCACAAAAAAGAAAACCTTTACAAGGTATTTATATTCATTCAACTTCCTTAATCAATAGCCATAAAAAGTGTGCTTCGTTTCTTGCAGCAGCATACTTTAGTGGATAATGCGCTCCCTGTCTGGATTTAGCATTTGTTTTTCTGATACTTATCCTCTCGTTGAGCCCCTCATTTGCATTCAAGAGCTGTCACATTGGTATAAAGTAGTGGCTGATCTATTCAATAATTTATTAATTGGTTAATTAATCTTGTCGAAACAGAAGCTCCAGGTTGTAATCCCCATATGCTTGGGGCCTGTCGACCAAACAAACGAGTCCTTGAATCTCATTTCTCCAAATTCTGCCCCCTTCCCTTTGTTCTTTGTCTTCCTATAATTTGATTTTGGCCTCACAGTGGCTCAGAATAATAGCGGTCACCAAATAATAGGCAACTCTTTGTGTGGTGTACAGAACTCCTCATTACACTGTTCTTTCTTGACAATTGTTTTTTTTTCCATTTTTCATTATTATTATTTTTAGTTTGTTTTCTTCCTTCATTTGTGTGAAAACATTTGTGCTTCCTCCTTCTGACATTTTGCATGGCATGGTTATCTGCGTGGTACATGCTAAACATGGAGCACTTTCCCTCAGGCTGGCTCTTTAACTTGCTTACTTGCTCTCTCTACCTGTCTCGCTTCAGCCTCTATACCACGCTCTCCTCCAGGTCTCCGGGATTGGCAGCCATGCTACAGTTCGAGTTGGAGTTGGAGGAGTTGTTGGAGGCGTAGGCGTGCAGATAGCCCTGCGTCAGTGCATGGCCGTACTGCTCGCTGCTGGCACTGGACGTGCTAGTGGTGGATGCGCAGTGAACCAGCATTCCGTGCAGCGACTGGCTTCGACGGGTCCAGATGACACTCAAGCGTTTGGCGTAGCTGTAGCACGTGGTGGTACTGATGTCACCCGCGTCGAAGGAGCTGCTTCGCTTGGTCCCCAGTGCCTGAGTCTCTCCTGGCCCCAAGTCCGTGCTGCCCTCTCCGTCTTCTGGCCCTGCTTGGGCCAGGGAGGCTAGGGCTTGCCTCTTGCCTTGCTCCTTATCTTTGTCCCTGTCTCTATCCAGTGACCTTCTATGCTTCAGTCTACCTTCATGCTTCACAGCCTTAGTTCCAGACTGGGGAAGGGTTTGTGCAGTTTTAGCTGAGGAGTAGTAGAGTGTCACTCTGTCACTCTCTGGTGTGAACGGGAGGGCGCATTTCTCCCTCCCTGGGTCTATGTCCATGCCCTGGTCACAGTGGGGCTCCGAGCTCTTTTTGGCTTTCGCCTTGTGCTTGGCTTTGGCCGGTGCTGCTTTCGTCTGTTGAGTGAGCAACCCGTTTGGCACGGCCACCATCATCACACTGTTGTTTCCGTTGGTCTGGGCATAAACATCCACCCCTTTGACTGGCAAGAACTCGCCCGACAGGTTGGCGTCGTCCCTACAATCTCCACAGACTCTGTGCCGCACCATCATAGCCACGGTGAAAACCAGCAATGTTACCACCACCACCCCACCCACCATCACAGTCAGTGTGCCGCCCAGGAAGTGAGCCTGCAGAGAGCGGCATTCTGGGTAATCCTCTTTAGTACTGAACTGGGTGCAGCCCAACACTTTTGTGGTGGCCAAGGAGGAAATGCCATCGTCAAATATGGCTAAGACACATAAGCTGTAGTCTGCACCGGAGACCAAGTTCTTCAGCAGGAAACTAGTACTGGTAGGAGGCAGGATCCTGCCAGGAGAGAGAGAGGAGAGAAAGAGAGAGCATAATGAGGATCTTGTCAAGCTAAAAAGACTGGGAGATGAATTAAATGAAATACAATAAGGAACAGCTCAAGTACGCTAATGATGATTATGGCTAGTCTGCGAGAGATAGGAGCTACAGGAGCTGTTCTTTTGTAGTGGAAATGGTCTAAATCAATACCTTGCAAAAAAAGCATGTGAAAATGAGGAAATTCAGAGGAAATCACTGACGCTTGAGAATTGGCAGCCTGACGAGCAAAGAGATTTTTGCAATGAACATCTATCTGTGTTCTCTTGCTGTTAGCCTGGAGGACTCCCTCCTACACTAGTCTTTACTATCTCAAAATCATCACTTTGTCCTCCAGCTCCCGCTGAAACAGAGTCGATATGAAGCTCTTTAATGCATCACTCCAACTGTGGCCACTGGACTAGATTGGTATACAAGCCCATATTGAAAGTGCTCTGGATGGCTACGCAAGATTCAGGCATTTACTGTTGGGAGATAATTGCCAGCTATTGCAGAATGGCCTTGAGCAGTTTTTATCTCCTCTATACTGGCTTCAGTCTGCTCTCTGCCCTTTTTGGCCATCCTGCCTTACATATGCCAAGCTACTTTTGTTGAATTCATTGCGTTTGATCTTTAATTTCTACACTTCTTGGTGCTGCTCTTCCCTTGATCTCCAGCCCTTAAGTAAAAAGGATTGCACTGTCATTGAATAAATGTAGCAGTGTATTTATCAAAGACTGTGTTTACATGCAAGCTGGCGTCTTCTTGTTTGTGAGCCCAGCTCTTTACTGCATATCAATGACTGATTTGCATAGGCGTATCTCCATGCCCGTACATTTCAATATGGAATGAATAATTGAGAATTACAAGCTTCACCATAAATGTGTCATAATGACAAAATCATAGATGTCTTACTGGAGGATTTATTTTTCCGATTGCTATGAATTCCAGCACTCCTTGAGTGGTTGAACTCTGAATCAAACATAAGTAAAATTGACCTGTTGTTTTGATGAGATGATTGTAGCATTTGAGACACACATGTACTCTGATTTGCATCTTTCATATTCTACAGATACACCTGTCAAAAAAGTACACATCTCATTGGAACTTGTATACCACCTGGGTTCATCTGCTTTTTTCAGTATTTCCAAGTCTAAGAGAAAATACCCAGAGAAAGCCCCTTTTGGGAACATTTCCTCTGCCAACAGCCAATGCAGCGGAGCATGAAATGTGGCCTGTGTCATTATGGCGTATTGTGGTAGTCATTTATTGGTCCAGACTGGCATTGGGTGTTTAGACTGAGAACATTTGCATGTCGATGAGCTAAGCATTAGTAACAGATCCATTATCAGCGCTATATGCCAACCCTCCCACTCATCTCCCTGCTTTGCCTTCCATTGCTGAATAACTGATGAAAGAGGAGGAGAACCTCTGAGATTTGCCTCACCTCACTTCTCCTTTCATAGCTCTTCCTTTTCTCTTTCCTCATCCTTTCCCCCCTCCCTATATTTATATCCATGTGTCACACAAACTTGCTCCCCTCCCTCTCACTGTGCATTATTGATTCCCATTATAGGACACCAGCTGCATGATGCAGTGTAGTCTCTCTGAGCTGTTTTCAGCCATTATGTCATGGTGTGATTTAATGGCAAACTGATTTAAAAAGCACAGGTTTGTTCTGCATCTGACTATTTTGATATGTAGGGGACCTGTGTGCCCCTGCCTGTACTCCAACAGAGTAATCAAGTGCAACAGGCTGGAGACTATAGTCTTCTGAGGGGGTGGGTTTGGCTGAGAGAATAAGTGAAGAAAATGGAGGCAGGGAGTGAGTTCATGTTCCTGCTAGGATGCTGCATGCAGACTGTCAAAACTGGCTTGTTTGTGCGACCTTTATCAAGAATTACTCCCTCTACTTTTCTGAGCAGCACTAACATAAATGGCTACCATGGCCCTCTTCCTCCCATCATGTCCTGCCTTGTCTTGCTGCCCCCTCTTACCGCTCTTCCTCCATTTAGATCCATTTCAGTCAGCCTGATAGGTTGTGACACTGTTGTAGACTGTGTAGTTTGTGCTCTTTTAAAGAATTCATCCTCCCTTCCTTGAAGTCAGCAGGTCCTCTCTCATTCTACTTTCTCCTCCTCCTGACTATAAATATCTCCCAGTATCTCTTGAAGCCTTGTGGCTCGATTTGTGTCTCCTCTCTGCTTTGGAGTGTTGTCTTGTTTCCCACTGCTTTATTCTTTTATCAATATTTGAGCCCTGTAATCCACAGACATCCCTTCTTTCTTCTGTTTTCTCTTTATCAAGAGATTTTTATCTGGTCATATGCTATGTGTACAACCAGTTCAGATAAACACATGTTCTTACCTGTATACAAGTGCATCGTCAGCTGTGCTGTTGTATTGAATCTGGTACATCCACACCAAGTAAGGTGTTGAAGTTCTACCCATGTGCCAGCGCACCTCAGCAGAGTTAGAGGTCACTCCCAGAACTGCTACCAGTCTCTCGGTTCCAGTGCTACCACTGCCAGTTCCATCCTCCCCCTCACCTCCAGTCACATTCTTCACTGTTACCACTCCTACCCCTCCTCTACCACTGCTGATATCAGAGGAACCAGGGTCTCGAGGGTTAATGAGGGGGACTGTGCCATTGCCCCGGTGAGGCAGTGGGATGATTTTCAGGTCCACCTGGGCAGTGGACTCCCCAGCCGCATTGATGGCAATACAGGTATAAGTTCCATCATCTCTGGCACGAGTCACCAAAAAATCCAAGGTTCCATTGTAATATGAGCGGATTCGACTGGAGTTCGCCACAATGCGGTCATCTGGCGAGACCCAGTGGAAGACAGGCTCAGGGTCACCAATGGCACGGCACTTCAATGTGGCCCTTTGCCCCTCCAGAACCCACAACTTATTGGTGTTGCGGGTGATAAGAGGAGGTTCACATGTGAATTCTTCCTCTGGAATGGACCAGAAGTAACGTCCAGCAAGGTGCACAGGTGTGGCACAAGTCTCCATATCGTCCTCACGCGTCAGCCTCCGAAGCCACAACAGCTCGCAGTTACAATGCAGAGGGTTCCCTCCGAAATTCAGGCTGATGATGGCATTGTAGGGTGTGGGGCTGATCACACCGATCTGTGAGCGGGAGAACAGAGGATCAGGGGGAAGTGTCTGCAGCCTGTTTGAAGTCATGTCTAGACGGGAGAGTTTGTAGAGCTCACTGAAAGAGCCCTCAGCAACCTGGTCTATGAGGTTGTGGTCCAGATTGAGGGTGCTTAGGCTGGCCATGTTCTGAATTGCTTCCCATGGAACCCGGCGGAGGTTGTTGTAGGACAGGTCCAGGTCCTCCAGCGTTAGAAGGAAGTCATCAAAGGCGTCAGCTGAGACGTCAGTAAGCTGGTTGTTGTTTATGAAGAGATGCTGAAGATTGAGAAGGCCAGTTAAGTCCTGAGGTCCCACCACAGTCAAGCGGTTAGTGTCCAAGTGCAGTGAACGTAGGCTTTCCAGATCAGCAAAGGCCAGTGGCCGTAGGGCATGGATGGTGTTACGTGACAGCGTCAAATCCACCAGTCCTGTCATGTTGGCAAAGTCGGCTCCACCCACCTCCAAGATGTAATTATCAGCAAGACGAAGCTCCACAGTGCGACGGTCAATGTTGGGTGGGACAAAAAGCAGTCCTTTGTTTACACAGAGTGTGCTTAGAGACTCTGATAGGTTCCGACACACACAGTGGAAGGGGCAGATGGACACCATGCCCCATGTCTCCCCAGCCAACACACCTGGACTGTATCCCAGAAGTACATGGCTCATCAGGCCCAACCACAGCAGAGTCATTGGAGACATAAGACCAGGTTGTGCTGTTTTGGGGCAGATACATTTTGCGTCATGGAGTTGTCGTAGCTGTGGGTCCTTTATCCTGGATGGCCACAGCAGCCCTGGGCTTGGCATGGTAGATTTATTTATCCACAGACCTGTTCAAAAAGAGAAACCACAATGTCAGCTGTTTCATCTTTTAGATATAACCCACAGCACTGGAATTACTTCAGTAAAATTGATGTCAAAAGCCAATAAATTATTAAACAGCTTATTAAAAAGCAGCACCACCTGTTTTATCTTATTTTTTTCTGCCTGGGCGTGTACATTTGAATTCTTTCTATTGATAATCCATGGGCTCTTCCAACTGCTCTTCTATTCATGGATTCTCAGCACAAATGCAGTTGTCCATTAATTACTATGGTGTCTTGGTGTTGTGCCAACTTTCTCATCCAGGGCCTGCTTGATTAATCTAACTATGTATCAATTCACAGTGGAACCGCCAGAGAGCTTAGCTATTCATATCCACCGCTGATGATTAATGGATTCACCTAGATTCTTTAGACAGTTGCTTAAATTTCTAAGCATTTATTATGTACCAGTCAAGCATAGTAAGAACTTAATCTTTTGCCATGTATTGTGAGTAAGAGCTGGAGACTGTGTAGTCACCAGGGACAAGGGCTCATGTGATCTGCCACAGCACAGTGATGAATGGCCCATTTCTTCTGTCGGTGGCGGATGTGAGATCGGATGGTTGATGTTGTATCTGTGGGCACAGGCAAAGTCTGTTTACTTTGGCTCTGTGTCCTTCTGTTTGTTCTCTACTCTCTACTGCCTGCTGCTTTCCTACAGTGGCCTGATCGCTCCATTACCCTGATCCATAACTGACTGCGAGTATGTTTGTGTGCTGTGTCATAGTGTGTTACAATCCTGTCCAAGACAGCAGCGCGTAAACGAGGCTGGATCGTATTTTATGAGTGTGACTGAAGCCCTCGGGCTCCTAATACACCAGCAATTCTGACCATTAATGGCGGATGCTTGAGTGGGTTAATATGTTGTTGTTGATGGCGGTTGATGAGATTGTTATAGCATGGTGTTGTAAGCTTCTCTCTATTTTTATGTTGCTTGGAATACTCCAATTTCTGCTCATTTGAGCCTTACATAATGGCTCCACTGTCACGCTCACAAAGCACAGTTTGGCTGCGAGAGTTTTTTTTGAGCTAGAGAGAGGAAGAAATAGAGAAAATGGGGCTGCAACTTGAGCATCAGTGGTGTAACCACTGAATAACCATGGGTAATTGACCAACATTAGTTTATTTCGAATATTAGTTCAATTTATTCAGTTAATAGGATTCTAAGATTCTTAGAGGAAGACCTGGTTTCCTCGATATAGATTAAGCCTGTCTCTGAACTTCAAAGAGATTTCGTTAACGAATCGCTTCTCAGAGCATAATTTAGTTCAGGAGTAAACATAATGGCCTGCAAACAGTTTCCTCCAACCATGTGGAGGCATGCGATTTCACCTGCCAAAAGTGCATGTGCGTGAGAGAGAGAAAGAGATTGTTCATACCTGATAAGTCTGTGCCGCATCAAGATTTAAAATGGTTCCATATTTTGCCCATTTTTAAGGAGCTGAGGTGTCCTACTGGTTCCCTCAGTATTTAAGAGCATAAAAACCCAGCAAGGAGCACTGAAGAAAATGGCACAGGCAGTAGTGCTGGAGCATTGATTTTTATCTCTTCATTGAATTTCATTACATCCGTGCCCCTTGATCCCAGAAGAATGATCAAACCAATCAGCCGATCGCTGTCACATAATTATTAGCTTGAATGTTTTTTTCCCCATTGGAGCTCTGTAATCCTCAGGGTTTTTAAGTTGCATCTAGGGTCACAGCTCATCATTGCTTCTCCTCACACATTGTTTTGACTGTTTACTGGATTTATATTCATCCATTCAGGGTTGATTATTCCCCTCATTCTCCATTGATGCAAAAAAAAAAAATCACTGTATGAAGCCGTAGTGTTTTTTTTTTGTCATTGTTCAAACCTTTCCCCAGTTACCAAAGGGCTGCTGGTTGCAATTGCTATCCAATCAGTCTGGCTGCAGAGTCAGAGCTGGCAAAGAGGAAAAAGATTAACCGTATTTGATGAGTTCTGTGATGGAGTGGGACTGTTTCTATGTCTCCTGGTTTTGCTGCTCTGGCATGTGACAATACAATCTCAATCTGGCCCTTAACTGCATGTCCTTTAGCCACATGCTTCAGCACTACCACTTTTAATCCTTCACTTCAACCCAGAATTGAAACCATGCGGAAGAAGACCTCTTCTCCATACGTGTGAAGTTAGCATCTGAGATTGGAAATTAATGGGATCTTCCTGAAAACTGGTGCATTAAAGCAAATAATCCAATTAGGGCAGCTTTCAAGCAGCCCCTGTGGGCTCTGACTGAAACTACTTGTGTTTGTGCACGCTGCACAAGCTTTCCAGACTGACTTAAGGTACATCTGTGAAACTCCAATTTCTCTGCATGGTTCCCACCTCGAGCTGTCCCAGCCCCTGTTGTTCGCTCTGTGATTAATCCATCCAGAAGCACGTCTGTCTCTAGTCTAGAGGCATTTGCATGGTTCTGCTTCATCCAGTTTCGCCTGCAGACCTTCCTCAAGAGAAATGGGAGAAAGGCAAACAGTTACCAACCTTTTCATGGTTCTTTGAGTCCTCCCAGGAGAGAGCTTTAGTTCTCTCTAGTCTGGCAGTACACCCCGCTCAACACCCGTTGCCTCGTACTTTCCTTTATGGAGCACTTCGTGAAGCCTCCCACCGCTGCCTCCTTTTTGCTTTCAATCCTGCAAACAAGTCCGAGGGAGCCGGGCGCTTTAACTCCAAAAGCATCGCCTAGAGATGCCGGGAGAAGGTTGCCGTCGCATGGTTGTGCTGCCAGTCATCGCTTTGTTGTGCCGTCCTGTCTCTGCTCCCCAGTCTCGAGCTGAGGCGCTGTGTGATTTGTGGCTTTTGGTGCAGGGATGGGAGTCGGTGTCTGTGTCTGCGTGTGCGGAGTGTATATGTGTGTATCTGTCTGTGTGACTGCAACGTGTCTGCAACAGTGAAAGCAGAGCGAGAGGGAGGAGAGGCAGGGAGGAGAGAGAGGAGAGAGAGAGAGAGAGAGAGAGAAGGGAGGGGAGGGAGAATGAGAGAAAGGGAGGGGGAGTAGAAGAGCCTGAAGCAGTCCTGGCTTGCGATATGAGGATGGGAGATGGAATAGAAGAGGCGAAATGGAGAGAAAAAGAGTTGAAGGAGGGGAAAGTGGAGGCTGGAGTTGGACTGGGGAGATGGACTGTGGACTGAGAATGGCTTTGAGTTTTACCACTCTATCAGTACTTCTCTGACAGCAGGAGGTCGCTGCAGGAGTGTGGATGGCTGCTAACTGACCCTGAATCCCTTGGCAACATATACACACCTTTACACATTGACAGCTCTGGCCAGCCCAAAGCAGTAACTCCCTAGTAGAGAGAGGAAAAAATGCAGTGTGCTGTAAAATGTCTTGAAATTTCTTGCAAAGATGATGTAGAAAGTGATTAAAGAAGAGCTGTCAATACTGATTGTATTAGTAATCGAGTTATCTACTAGTTGTTTTGAGGATTAGTTCAGTTTTTAAAACTATAACTATACTGAACTATAAAAATGGATTTAAATGAACACTTACAATCTTATAGTCTTTCAAATATTCTAAAATTCTTTGTCAGATAAACTAAGAAGAATTTAAAGTCCCAGGGAGCCTAAATTAGAGGTGTGTGACCCAACTGAAGCCTGACAGGGCCTCTTAAAATATTGCGTTTCAGCCAGGTTTGGGCCAATTGGTTATGTAAAACATCGGGCCCAAGTCAGGCTTGGGTTTGTTTTCTAATGAGTGTTATTTTTATGTAGTACATTTGTGTTTAATTGAGGGAATATGCCTACATGGATTTGTTTTCAATTAAAGTTCAGGACAGAAAGTTACGGTCACACCATGGTTGATGAGAGACATATGTTTTGTTGGCGTAAAGGTCACAGTGGATCTTTCTCCTTGCTTGTTAAGCTTGCCCGAAGTATGTTAAGCATTTCTGCAAGCAGCAGTAGTAATGAGAGGAAATTTAGCGCAGCATTTGAGAGGGGATGGTGGATGCGGTTTTGATCAGCAATTCCACTAACATGTACTGATAATATACACTGTTAGTGCGTTATACCAGCTGTGTAAAATACCAGTTTATCTCAGCATGGCATTTTCTGTCAATCAACTCAGGCGCTTAGTAATAAAGCAAAGCACTGTAAAACAGTCTGTGATAATTCATCCCTGTTGGTTTGAGCGAAAGGAATCAGATTGGCTTTGGGTTTCAAGTTTAGCAGTACCAGTTGGGCCTGATTGAGTTACGTCTCAAGTCATGGGTACTTGCGCAAAACCACACCTATACAGCTCTAACAAAACTATGCCTTCCCCACAGTCTCACTCTCCAGTTTGAGCAAGTTAACTACTAGTGAGTGAAAGCTAACCAAGCATGCTAGTTCTGTCTGTTATCCCTGTTTCATCCAGTCAGCCATGCTAGTATTCCCTGAATACACATCCTACAGTGAAGTGGAAAAGAACCTTCTCTTCTTTAAGGTGTCGCTACACAAATGCTGGATAATGATTTTAGTGAGCCATGGTCACAGTGGAGAAGTCCACCACGCCACCAGCATATACATTGCCTGTTTCATTCACTCTTGTCCCCACCAGCGCAGACGTGTTTAGCTCTGCTTGAGTGATGTAGGCTGGGAAACTTTAACAGAGGGACATCAATCAACACTGCTCGTTAGAATGTTAGGCAGTTCTTGGATAGGTCTGAAAAGTTTTGCAGCTGTAACAACCTCTAGTCTTCTGGGAAGGCTTTCCAGAACATTTTGGAATAAGGAGCCCTGAAAACCAGCCCCAGACCACTATCCCTCTTCCACCAAACTTTTTTATTGTCACTATGCATGCCTGTAAATAGCGATCTACTGGCATTGGCCAAACCCAAATTCAGTTGCCAGATGGTGAAGTGTGATTCATCACTCGTGAATATGTTTCACTGCTTCAGAGTTTAGTGGCAGTGTGCTTTACACCACTCCAGCAGACGCTCGGCATTGCGCATAGTGGTTTTAGGTTTGTGTGCTGCTGCTTAGCCATGGAAACTCCCGACACACAGTTCTTGTGGTGATGTTGCGGTCACTGGACAGCTAAATGCACGTGGATTAGAGTTCCGTTACATCAACTAACAGGCACCTGCATTGGCTTGCATTGCTTTGAGTGATGGAGGGAGACTCCCAGTCATGATTGGCAGTGGCATTGCTGTGTGCTGAACTTATCTCCCAGTGATGGAGCCAAACTGTGCAAATCCAGTGTGTCTTTGACTGGATGTACAGCAAATACAGAACCTGAAAAAATGAACAGGTTGCACTTTCTTTTTTTCAGTACTGGGCCGTGCAGCATTTCTTTTTTATGAGCTAGTAGTAAACAGTAGTGTAGTTGCTTAGCTGTTCATGTGTGTTCACTTCATGGCTCTCTGTGGCCCTATTCAAGTTACAATAGTGTACATGAAGGTTACACTTTGGTGCTCTTGTGGTCTAATTTTAGTGGCGCTATTAGCCTACTTGCAACTTCTTGAATCTCGGCCGTTCTGTTGACACAGCTGTTTGTGATATTTTAATGTGGAAATTCATATTGCGTTAAAATAAAAATGTGATTGTGCAGTGCTCGTCCCCAGTAGCTCGTTTGTGCTTGCGGAGACTGTGCGCTGTGGACCACCACAGCAAGTAAGGTTAGTCATGTATCCTGAACAGAAAGGGACAAATACATGGTAATAGAGCGAGCAAAGCTGCATGGCAGAGTCATAAAGCAAAAGTGTGAGTGAGTGATTGCACCCTCCGCCCCCTCTGGTTCTCATTGCCTCTGTTGTTTTTCCGGACTCTGCGTTTTTAGGTGAGGAGAGTGAGTCAGTCACAGCCAGTCTCTAAGCATGGCTATATATAGAGGCCTGACTACACGCAGTACAGCGCAACAGAGCGCTCAGCAGCCAGCAGTAAAGCAGCCGGCACGCAAGCCTGGTGTTTCAGCCTGAACCCGATTCCAGAGAAAAGAAAAAAAAGAGCAGAGCTCATGGTGTGCTTCATCTTCTAGCACTTACTGTATAACTCTGACTTATAGCTCATACTGGATAGCAACGGAAATCCATAGCACTGTAATTAGGGTGCAAAAATATCATTGTCACAGCATATTTTCATTTAATATGCGTCAGCAAATTAGCTCTAGTTTAAAAACGTGTAGTTCATATATCACATTGTCATAACAGCGCTTCCTCTGTGGCACTGTGTGCAAGGTTCTTGATGTTATGAATTCCATGTCACAGTGTTGATGTACTGCCACTATATCAGCCACCACTACAGTACTTATGGCTGTCGTGTAGTCACTGTGGTAGCAAAACCGCATATCTCTGAAGCGCTACCTTTAAAAGAGAAGGAAATGTATTTTGATGTAATGAGATTTTATTCCAAGTTTCTGTTGGTCTGTTTGTTATGCAATGTTCACACAAAGTAAAGACCAGCATGCATTTTCAAATGTAGTAAAAAAAAAAAAATAAATAAAACAAGGATAAGAGGTTTTGATATGACACTGGAGATATGAAGAATCTGGACCAAAGCAGGCTGAAATAGGACCAGTATGAAATGTTACTGTCACACATCGCTCTAGTTTTGACTCTCTGGTGGACTCCAGTTCCCAGAACCCTCTGGGAGAACACGTGACTGTGATGTCACAATATTCCACCTATCAGAGATCTGCCTCACCTGACTACTGATTTGTCTCACCTGTTTATTTTATCATGTGATTAGTTTAGTTAGTATTTAAGCCTGGGCTTTAGCTTAGCTCAGATGTGTCAAGCTCCAGTCCTCATGGGCCAAAACACTGCAGACTTCGTTAAACACACCTGATTCACTCAACTCATTAAGTAATTAGCATGGCCTTCATGAACTGAATTCAGAGCGCTAGATGGGATAAAGGCTAATTTCCACATCCCTTAGGCGTGGAAGGTCATCAGTTTGACATGGTGGCTTAGCTCATTGTGAAGAATTGCTTCTTTCATAGAGTTACTCAGCATTCTTTCCCATGTTTTGGTTGATTTCCTGTGTGTCTGACTTATCTTGTGTGTTTTTTGACTTTTTGCCGGCTCCATATTTAGATATTGTTTGCCTGGACCTGATTTTTTTGTTATGTTTGTCTGTTGTTGCATTTGCTTTGTGTTAGATCTGACCTTTGCCTGTTTTTTAACCATGACTTTGGAACACATACAAACCAGTAAAGCCTCATTGGTTTGTTTTAACCACATGCGTCTGACTAGTTCTGTCTCATTACAGTTATGGTATTGACCTGAAAGCTTTTCAGACTATTAGGAGGGTACAGGCTACATTTACAAAACAAGTTCACCTAATGGATGACTATGGATTAGACCACTGTCCTTGGCACATGTAGCGGTATCTAAATGTTGCATTGATTAGATTTACATGGCTTCATATTCCACTACAGTATCATACAATAAAGGCTTTGTGTTGTCTTCTCTGCAGCTGGATTATTGTTTACTTTCTCTCTTGCCAATGAAAGAACATGTTAAACAGTTTCTACCTGTGCTGTGTACTCTGTTTTTTTATATTATTTATTCCATTTCAGATGAGGTCATTTGTTTACTTATTCTGACTTACCACCCTTATAGAGTGAGCAGAAACATTGCTGCAACAGTTTTGTTGTTTTATTCTTAGCGCTATTACATTTCTATTGACAGACAATGGCTCGATTTCATTTAAATGGCAAAGCATACATACAGATGGCCTATTTTTAGCATGTGTCCTTCAATGATCATTATATTTCTGCCATTAATGACCACAATATGCTGTAGCAGAGCAGCAAGTTGGTCAGTGTGGAAAAAGCCTGGCAGCCTTTTTCAGCACTGCGGACAGCTCCTCTCAGCTCAAGTACAGCTTGTTCACTGTACACTTGTGGGCTCGCTCATGCAAGCTGCGATCCATCAAACACCATTATAATATCCCCATTAGTCTCGCCTTTTGTCCTGCTGTATAGTGGGTTCTCCATATGAATGCCTTTTCTAGCTGCTCACTCTTTTATTGCCTGCTCTCTCCTTCTAATTTCCCTGTGTGCTTAGGCAAACAGGTGGCCTTGAAGCTCTCCTCAGTCTCAATGTGCTTTAAAGGACTGTTTTATGCTGTTTTTTTTTCTGTAGTTTTCTCTTCCTGTGCGGCCGCCCACTTGATGCAGTCATTGTGAAAACCGTGAGGCTAGTGGGCAGAAAATCTTTTCCAGTGGTGTACCGCTGCATGATGCGCTCTTCACACAACTAAAAGCAAAAAGATGTTTCCCGTAGCTGGGGAGAATATCTCTCTCTCTCTCTCTCCCCCTCTTTCTGTAGGCATTGAGTATTGAGCGTGCAAGCGAATGTGGTGGTATGATCATGGTGGTATTGAAAGCTCCCTGTTGGCTCTGTATCCCAAATGCCATTAAAATCCCAGCATGTCAACGAGGCTATTACCCATCTGAACCCCCCCCAATAAGCTGCAGTGTGTGTGCATGTGTGCACATGCTTCATTCATGTGTCTCATAATTGAACTATACAAGCCTTATTTCCCTATACTATATATGGATCATTCCTCAGTTGAAAACATTTCAGAATTTTTAACTCAAAAATGCTAGCCAGTACATGACTAGCAAACATGGCTTTGAACATCCATACACAAATAAAATCATAATATTTTTCTTTAAAACCCAAAGAATTTACTCAGTTGCAGAAAATGTGTTTGATAGTGACGATTCCTACAGCTACACACTGATCTTCAGACTTCAGGACACATTTACTTTAAAACAATGTGATCTAACTGCTCACCATTTGGCCATGAGGGACAGGGATGCAGTCTCACGTCCTGCTCTAAAGTGCAGGGGTGTGGCTAAAATAAGGCTCCGCCAATGGACTAAAACTTTTTGTGTTTCAGAAGTGACATGAAAACGTGGGGCAGCATTTTTTAACATTAAATCTTTAAAAAAGTATTTAATCTTTACTTAATCTTAAGTTAGTAAACTTAGTGAGCTCTACTTAAAAAACTCTTTAAAATAAGGATATAAAATGAAGTACTAAGTTGAAATTTAGGGGACATGGTCTGGGACAGCCACCAACCAATAAAAAATGATGACTTTATATGTATTTAGCTTATTAATATCGCTAATAATGCCTTGGGTTTTAAATAGTAACTAATCTAATTTCTCTGTATGCTTCATTGTTAATGTAAGTAGTTTTTTTATTGTGGGCCTGCAGTTTGAACTACTTCAGTAGTATTGTATTTGATGGCCGTTAAGACTGTACACTAAATAAATGAAAAATGGTCTGACTTTTGCAGAGTCATATATACATACATATATACAAAACTTAGAAAGCATGTATTTAACACAAAATTACAAAAAAACAGTAAGTATAATATCAAATTTTCAGTACTTAGCATGTCCACCCTTTGCCTTTATCTTCATTACAGCTCTTCCATTCTTTTCAGACTGCAGGGATATTTTTCCGCACCTCCAAAGTTCAGTCTTAGAAGTGGGTTGCATACTTCTCACAATCCATGTTGGTTTTTTGTTTTTTTTTAAAGAATTTTTCAGTTTCAGTTTTGGAAACTCTTGTTTTTTTTTCTCATGTTTTGCTTTGACTTAGTCCTTCCTCATGCAAGTATCATATATATAGTATCCTCAGAAACATCTCTTTTATCCATTTTAAAAGCACAAGAGAGAGAAATTAGCAGAGAGAAATTTGTGCAGTTGCTTGCATGAATGTTGTGTGAGTCTCTGTTTGAGGGGAAACATAATCAGTGAGAGCTTTGGGAACAGTTTTTGTTTTAACTCGGAATGAAAGAGTTAAAGTGGCATTATAAGTGCACAAAAGAAAATAGTGAACAAATACTGACAGATTTTATATATTTAGTCTTGGTGACTTCAGTGTAATTCAATGTATGTTTCTTACATTTTTCTGACACTGTAAAATTAATTACTTTGCAGTTTAATGGCAGCCTCTGACCTTTGCACGGTACTGGGTTCATGTGTGTATGAGTGTGTCTGTGGGAACAAAACCAACATTTCCAAAATTTCCATGATTTTTTTGGGGGGATTTTTTTTTGTAATTTTTGTAAAATTGTCATGCGAAATTTTCATTGCCAATCCCCCCTTTAGGGACTCTGCCCACCCCTCTGAGTGCATGCACATGTATGCATATGTGGAAGAGGTAGGGCTTAGAAGAAATACACAGTGCTTGCATAGATTCCAAATTACAAGCTCACTTTTTCAGTTTCTCACTGCAGCTCCACATCTCGTATCTCTCTGCTCTCTCCAGTGAGCAGGTCAGGTCTGCAGCAGAGCACATCCAGAGAGATCAGAGTATTTAAAGATATCAAGGCACTTATAGGAAGGACTGTAATTTCTTTGTGCTTCAGCAGTGAATGAACTGTTCCTTACAACTTTCTTTCTTTCTTTCTTTTCTTCCTTGCTTTTTTCTCTTTTTTCTTTGTCTCTGTCCATTTACTTTTTCTTTCATTCATTGATTATTTCATTAATTCAATCTTCTTTTTTCTCTTTCTTTTCTCTCTCTCTCTCTCTCTCTCTCTCTCTCTCTCTCTCTCTCTCTCTCTCTCTCTCTCTTTCTTTCTCACACACACTGGTCTGTGTGTGATGGAAGGGGGAATCGAGTGTTTAGATAATGGTATTGATTTTAGGACTGCCCACTAAAAGGCCCTATTTGCCCCTGTAGAAGCATTAGCACCTCAGCTCAGTGTTTGTGTGAATGTGTTGTGTCTACAGGCTCTGTGCTCCTCCACTGGGTCAGCACCTGCTCTCTGTAAGCACTCTCTCAGGCTCAATTTCTCTCTTTCTCTCTCTTTCTTGGCAGACAAATATCCCGTTCCTCCAGAATGTGTTGAGCAATGACCAGTTCCTTTATGGCACCGTGGACACTCAGTTCATCGACGAGAATCCAGACCTGTTCAACCTCAAACCGGTCCAGAACCGAGCCCAGAAACTCCTCCATTACCTCGGTATGATGATATGGTGCATGATAAAATCATATTGATTGATCTACTGTTACACCCTCAGGCACAGTTCTCACGGATGCAATGAGACAAGATGACAGAGTTTTAGAGCAATCAGTGCAGCCGTCTTAAAGAAAGATTCTAGAATTTTAAAGTGAAGTGACTGGGTATTTATACTATAGTGAAAAAAATTATCTAAATGCTTTCCTTGTCAATCCCAACAGTGCATTTTTGAACTAATTAGAACAAAATTAAAACAGGTCAATTCTGCTTTACATTCCCTTTCTTTTACGCAGGCTATAGGCAGATCTAGTGTAAATAAAAAGAGGCACAGGAGAACTTTTAGACCTGGCAGTTGTGTTTGTATGGATAAGTAAATATTCACCCAGACATAGACTATGAAATTTTAATGTATGTGAGTCAGTGAGTTGCTCCAAAATATATAATTAATTTCCAGAGGTTGTTATGAGAGCAGACCTGGTTAGCAGTGCAACACATAGTTTAACATAATGACTTTATGCTGAGAAAGCGCCTTTATAAAAAATTCAGTTTACCTTGGAATTGTGTTGGGACTGCATTCAAAAAGCCTGAAGATGCTAATGTAGCTAGCTAAACAAAGTTCAGTCATTTACTGCAGTTTTCAAGATACTGCACATATAAGATATACTGTTGATCTTAAGACGTTTGGGAATTTGTGAATATAAATAAATAATAAAAATAAATAATATGATATAGGTTATATTATATATTCTTGCTAAGTTGTGGGCTACGCAGAACCAGTGACATAGACAGAAAAGAGTAGCAAAACTATGTAGCTACACATCATAAAGAACATGGGCTTAACATAAACTCAACCAGCAATGACACACCCTTCTACAAAAAAGTATGCGTCCACTGACAGGCACAAATTTAACCCCAGTGTAGATAACGCTGTTAAAATTGGACAGAAAACCTGTACAAAACTCAAACCTAAACCATCAGGCATCCTCAGCTACAGCATGTGGCTATATGGCATATAGGAAGAATGTTTAAGGACCATTTATATCTTGCCTTTTGATGACTTGATGTGCAAATGCATATTTTAATAAAAAAGGTGTTGCAGTTAATTTGCAGACCAGCAGCCATGCACGCAGCCTTATAATAGACACAAACAACAGCGCAGTAAAATTTGTGTTTGGCTTTGGAAATGGGTAGAAAACAAAAGATTCTACACTGTTCTGGTATCAGGAGGTTTTTACAGGTCCCACAATCATAAATTCAAAATATATCCCAGCAAAATGGTGATTAGAGACCTAAGCTTGCAAAGATTTTCATATTGGTGACCAGAAACAACAATAAAAATAAATAAATAAATAAATAAACAGAAAAAAAATCTCCCTATTTGACAGGATAGGCTTGTGATAGCCATCATACTGTGACTACATGCCTGCATGGAATAAAAAAGTAACATTATAAACAGCCACATTAAATGTTTCTATCCCAGAACAGTTAAGGGTGTCTTCAGAGTCCTGGGGCCATATTACGGAAACTTCCTATTTTTAGTCTTGAATTAAGATCTGACATGGTCAGGATTTTTCACAAATTTGTATTATAAAAGCAAATCTTATCTTCACTTAGGAATATCTTACTTACTTACAGCACCTTATCTCCAGTTAGGAAGTCCTAAACTACTTAAGCAGTGAACGATACGCGAAATGGAAAAATGTAATCAGAATAATGTTAAAAAGGTAAATTAGTAAAGTAGACTGCTACCATTAGCGATGTTAAAAGGTTAAAAACAAAATTAAAGTGCAATAAAGTGGGAGTTAAGAATACTCTGGTAGTGCCCAGTGAACGTCGCCACTCAACAGATTCAGTTTCAATGTCCCAAATGCTTTAACTGTCCTGTGAGCCACGCTACATTATTCCTCCTAATAAACAGTCACACTTTCAGTTCTGTCACCTTATTATTCACCACCTTCGCAGTAATATTTTCTTTGAGTTTTTATGAACATTAACACACAAAGGCTGTAAGAGGGGATGGTGGAGATTGTGTCTGCAGTGTTGGGGATATTTAAAATGCAGTGTTAGGGGGAAAAAACATTACAATTTAAACCATAGTTTTGCAATATAGAAAAATGTAACATCATTATGCTAGTAGGAAATATGTGCTCTTCACAGTTGCATCGTTATGCTAGTAGGAACTATGCTGCTCTTCACAGTTGCATAAAAAACAACAGAAACAGCAGGTTAAAGCAGAAGATAGGGCACCACTGGAGTTGTTAGGACATTATTTAGGAAACGTTGTCTAGTGAGGTTGTTTCCATAATAATCTTATCTGGAGTTGGGATAAGATTATGAACTTTATTCTGTAATTGCTTCTGTCCTAAATTCAGTCCTGAAGTTGTCATGGTGGCTAAACATTTAAGATAATATTTCAGTTCGGATGAATTTGTAATACAGCCCCTGGTATGTACAGTGCAGAAATACAGATTTCCATGACAGCATTTAACTAGGAGAAAGGCCACGTCAACTCTTGAGTCTTCATTGGTTAAGCGAAGAATTTATGTTAGGTTCTAAACTGGGTCCATGACTCATAATCGGCTTTTTAAAACTTTTAGTCAAAAACTTTCTAAAACTAGAGTTCACACTGATCCACCTGCCTTTCAACATGTTCTAAAAGTGCCTCGTCAAATGAGTGTGAACTGGACTTTAAGTTAAACCCACAGTTAGAATGTAAGGTCAAGTTCATATGAAACAGAGCAGAAAGAGAGCAGAGAATCAATACTCCTTCATTTTAATGTAAAGATATACTTAAATACTAAAGATATAAGACTTGTTTTTCATAATATCTGACTTGTTGTGATGCTCAGGTTTTTTAGAAGAGTGCTTCTTAACCCTGCAGCTGGAGTAACCTGGTTGTCTGTTCATGCATGCTCTGTCATCATTCGGCTGCTGTCTGTTTTGTCTTGTACTGATAACCCAACCTCACCGGTGATTTTATGATTATTGTCATATTATATTTATAATTATTACTTCTCAAAAACATAGGCTTATGTATTTTTCTGACACCTGTTCTGCTGTCTCCAAAATTATAATTTGAAGGGTTAAAAACCACTGTTTTAGATCTTATATGCGAGGGTGCACAGAAAAATAATTGGGTCCCTGATTTAAGAAGTACTATCAATAGAGATGTGAAATAAAAAAAAAAAAAGAAAAAAATAGACATGCACTTTTTGCTTGTTTACTCGCTATTGTAGCACTGTGCTAATTTCTAAGACCACCCGTTCAATTATTTAATTTCCAGTAAAAACAGCAATTAAGTACAAGTTTTTTCAATCTCAGGAAAAAGAAAAGCTCAACAAGTAAATATATGCTATTTTTCTGTATCTAGTTTCCAGACTTTCACTTTATTACGGCTTCCATACTATTAAAGAGATTTGCTTTGAGTTTTTCAAATAAATCTGTAGGGGTATTTTTCCACATCTCCAAAGTTCAGTCTTAGAAGTTGCTTGCACTGCTTCTAAGTCATCCCAATTACAAATTTATCATCATCAGTCCATAAAACCTTACTCCAGATCTCAGATGTCCAGTTTCCTTGTTCCAGGGCGAAATCTTTTCTCATTAAAAGCTACACGTTCTTTCTTTAAGTACGGTTTATCTGATGTTCACAGTTTTGGTGGTCTTGCACAGTTTTAATGAGTCCCAGTTTCTCTATATCTTTTAATCGTTGTTTTGGTAAGCAGTATATAAGTATTCCCCGGTTAGAGAAGGTAAAAAAAACAAAACATGCAAGTCAGGGTGCTCCAGGACCAGGGTTAGAAACCGCTGTGTTACACTGAGTCTTTTAAGCTTTGGGGTTAGCTAACTGATCAAGTGATGCTTTTTGTAGTTGGCCTTTAGATGATGCTGTTGGAGCTTTGCCTGAGCCCTCTGCCGCGTGTGGTATGAGGTCAGGTGACTGAAGAGCAGTCTAAGTAACTGTGCCTGAATGCTTTAATCTCAGGTCATGTTATGGTGAACGGCCCTACTACTCCCATCCCTGTCAAGGCTAAGCCTTCCTCCATTGATCCAGTGGTCCCCGCTGTACCTCTCGGTAAGCAACACACTCACACAGACACACACACACAGACACACACACACACTGTCAGTGAGTGCAGTCAGAGTGCACTGGAGACTGCAGTGCGAATCAAATGTAAGCCGCAGTCTCACTTCTTTACAGCCGTGGGATTTTAGTGATGCATGGCTGAGAGAGAGAGAGAGGGAGCAAAAGTGTGCGTTCGTGTGTGTTTTCATGATAAGAGCGACTTAATCTCCTTCACCCCTGCAGTTTAAATGTAAGCCGTCAACATACTCTGATTCATGTGAAGCAGGAGGCTGACATTTTAGGTGTGTGTTTATGAAAGGCTCTTTTGACTTTTTTTGGCCTCCACACACTGTTTCCATTTCAGTTTCATTTTCTGTTGATTTTGTTTATGGTGTAAAGAGAAGTCAATTAAGTGTCTCACAAAGGCTAATTTATTCCTTTTAGGAAATGTATCTATTAGGCCAGGTGCTGTGGCGGAGCATGTGTGTGTGCGTGCCCACAGCTGTGTATGTGTGTGTGTGTGTGTGTGTGTGTGTGTGTGTGTGTGTGGAGTGTGAGAATCAGAAAGAAACAGAAGTGAATAATGGTGCAGTTAAGTTGCTGATTTTTGTTCTGTACACTGTGGTGGTGCTGATAATGTCTTTAGTATTGATTAGCTGTGTATATGTCTGCTGTAGGTGACCCACCTAAAGGTTTTAGAGATGTGTTGCTGAAGGAGGGTCCCGAGGGCTTTGCTAAAGCAGTGCGAGCCCACCAGGGTCTGCTCCTGATGGACACCACCTTCAGAGACGCCCACCAGTCTCTGCTGGCCACCAGAGTTCGGACGCATGACCTCAAGAAAATCTCCCCCTTCGTGGCTCACAACTTCAACAAGCTCTTCAGCATTGAAAACTGGGGAGGTGGGCCACTTCTCTCTTTTTCACTCATTCCATCACACGTCACCATTGGCAGGCTGGACAATCTCTCGAATGCATGTACCTATTCAGTCACAAATAGCATGTAGATGAAGAAAAGGCAGGCATGCCATCGTAATGTGGCTGATCATTTTGAATGAATTGTTTTTCTGATGTCACATAAGGAACCATATTTCCATACAGTACTGTTCAGAAGTCTTAGGCCCCTAAGCAAATTGTTTAAACTCATTTTTCTTGGCAGTACATTTGTTTTTGCCAGAAAACACCATATAACATTAGAATAAATGCAAACAAAATGAATGCAGTAAACAACCTAAAAAAACAAAAAATAGTTGAGTTAACTTGTGAATTAGAGGAAGTATCCAGATTTCTTCTCAGTTCCCCCAGTAATCACAAAGATTTGTTAAATTCCATCACTGCACACCTGATTTAAGGTAAAGAAGTAAACTAGGTATTGAAAGTAACTATACTGGACTATCGCCAGGGAGATCTATTTATCTGCCCAGATAAACAGCTTTTTAAATCTAATGTGCTCCAGTGACTAAAACCTTTTGATGAAGTTGAAACTCAAATCTGAACCATACTTTGGACTTTGAGACTTGACCTGACCAGGCCTAAATGGTACTGCTAAATTTGAAACCTGATCCTGACCCAAACCCACTCGCACGCAGTAACAAAGATGAGTTCTCATAGACATGCTACATTATTAAGTGCTTAAGCTGAACAGCAGCACATATCATACTGAAATAAACTGTCTGCTAGTAATAGTAATATTCTGTTAGCCCCACTGCACTAAAGTTCCTCTTGCTACTGCTGCTACTTGCAAAAATGTTTAACAGAATTTGGGCGAGTTTAACGAGCAAGGAGAAAGATCCACTGTGACCTCTCCACCGACTCAGCACATCCGTCTCATTATCCATGGTGCAACTGTGATTGATGCACTGTTAAACTTCATTCCCAGCTTCATTCAGGGGCACATTCACCCACTCCTCAAACTCTGAAGCTATTCTGAATGCAGCTATAGACTCTGACCTTAGAGAAAGAGAGAGAGCATGAAAATGAAGATGCATGAAACTGCACAAAATTTACATAGGCACAATCCTAATACATCGAAAAATCACTCATTAAAAAACAAACCCGAGCCTGACCTGAGCTCGATGCTGTGAGCGAAAAAATGTCCTAAAACTTTATATTTGTCAGGCTCTATTGGGCTCAGGTTGGGTAGCAGACCTCCAGTTGGTTAACAGTACAGATCAGCCAATCAGGACATATCAGTCTTAAACGTAGAGCAACATCATTGGCTTGTTTAATTCTAAGGGATAAAGAGAAGCTGTAAAATGAGTTTTCCTTGTTTTTGATATGTAAACCCACCCAAATGTCATAAGTAGACATCAGTATTTTGAATCTTCTTGGCTATAATTTGTTTACATCTTAATTTGGATATTGCATTATGTTTGGTTTAGCCTAAATTCTGGTTCTTCTGATCATTTTTCTAAGCATTTTTAAACAATTTGAGAGAGAATTAATGAAAACTAAGAGATATAATAGGCTGAAAATCATTTGAACATCATTTTTTTAACCATATCACACAGCCTTAGTGTTCACTCGATCAGAATACAGATATTTCAGCTAAGTTGTGAAGATCACCACAGGCAAAAGCACCCTAGGGGTGCTATGTAAGAGTGAAGCTTCGCATCAGTCACGCTGTGTGTTCTCGTTATTTCACTATTCTAGCCCTCGCCGTCAGCACATGCCACCGTGCCAGCATTTGGCTTCTCATACTGTCCGTCATTCCAGCTGGAAGATATTGTGGAGTGGCCTGAGGGCTGCATGAGCAGGTTTTCTACTCTAGTGTCAGCTCCCCTGCTGTAAAGGAGCCACGAACTTTCAAACTCTTGCTTATTTGTGCTTCCGCCTCACTAGAATGAGCATGAGTCGCCATTGTGGGTCTGCAGATCCGTAAAGCTCATAACAGCAGCTGAAGGTACATCTTTGCTTGGGCAGGGGAAAAAGTGGAAGAGGAAAATGGGGGTAAAATGATGCAGGAGGGCAGAGTGCAGTTCACTGAGTTACACTGCCATCAAAAGTTTGGGGATGCCGTGCCCACTTTAGCAGTTTACTGAGTAGTTTTTCATGGTTTCTTTTCAGTTAACGGAAAAAAAAGTATCCGCAAAGGTTTTGTTAAGATACAATATAACAATAAGACACTCAAGGCCATGTGTTAGTTATTTTGTCTCAGTTAAGAGGTGTTGTTATATTTGGCACAAAGCAGAAAACAATTTAATAATATTTTAGCCCCATACATTATCAGGCTAATTACATCCAAAGGCTTATTTTTCAGTAATTACATGCAGAACAATGCAAAACTCTTTTTTGAAAGTTTTTTTTCAAGGATTGATGAATGAATGCCTGGTCCCACCTGGATTCTGTGCATTTAAGGGTTAAAATAATTACATTTATTATCAATAATAATGACAATACACTTATGCCACAAATCAGTGTTCTTGTAGATAGCTGTGGTTGCCGAGCAACAACATGGTCAAGGATTATTATATGAGCAGTAGTTGTTTAATTACTTTAATAGTGCATTAATACAGAATTCATTTGTGTGTATGGTCACTGAGTATTTTACAATAACTTTAAAGACAGCTCAGCCAATCAGATTTTAGAACCAAAACGATTGTTTTTATAACAGTTATTTACTAATACTTTTATATATTTTACAGCACTCTTCATGTTCATCAAAGTGTCTTCTTTGATATGATGTGCTTTTGTCTAAATAATGACTTGGCAGTTTTCTAAGCTATTTTTAAAAGCACAAACTGTAAAACACTCCAAAGGTTTGAGTGCTGACATTGATACAAAGGGATAAAATGTGCATTAGGCGTACTATGCAATTATTACCAGTATAGCACTTTTTATCAGTTATTCTTTCAGTTTAGCAGTTATTGAAAAGAAAAGGGCAGGATCTGAACAGCTTTCTGTGTAATATGTAAACCAACAAAAAAAGACCATTTAATAAAAACATTTTTAAAAGCTAGGTGTCCCCACACTTTTGGCAGGCAATTTAACATAATTTGTTTCACCTGTTCATTTCTTTCTTTTCATTTCTCTCTCTCTCTTCTTCTTTAGGCGCTACATTTGATGTGGCCATGCGTTTCTTATATGAGTGTCCATGGAAGAGGCTGCAGGAGCTCAGGTCCCTGATACCCAATGTGCCCTTCCAGATGCTCCTGAGAGGAGCCAATGCAGTCGGATACACCAACTACCCCGACAACGCTGTCCACAAGTGGGCATCACACACACTCCTTCACATTCTAGAGGAGTTTTAGTATAGCACAGAAATAGAAGTGTTAAACTTAACGATGTTCTTTATATAGGTGTAATATTTAAAATGAAATAGAAGTGTTGTGATAAACAGTTCTGAAAACTGAGAAAGGAATCAAAAGTTAAAAGGTAGCTTTCCAATGAGCTTCCTAATTTATCACAAATGTATTTTTTTCCTCTTACCCTAAAAATAGTCGATCAACTGAAAAGCATTTGGTGCCCAAAGTTTGCTTGCTTAGTTTTGCATTGGACAGTGAGGTTAGTGGAGTTAAAAGCAATAACAATTTAAATAACAATAACAAACTAAAAACATTAGCAGCCATGTGGTAGTACTGAACCACGTTAGGCTCCATTTACACAGTGAAACCTTCGTACAATTTTAACTACTTGAAACATACATGTAGCTAAATTGCACTTAAGTTGCATAATTTAAAGTAGCCCAGGACCCCCGAGTGGAGCCACCCTATCATCAGGATATTCTGAGTTCGATCCCCGGTGATGCTACAGCCATCCATGGCTGGGATTCCAAGAGAGCACAATTGGCCTTTGGGTTGGTAGGATGGCCCTCCCTCTCAAGCATCATTCAGCGCGATGCTAGCCAGCACGGGCGTCTGTTAGCTGATGTAACAGAATGGTTAGCATTCTCCTCCAAGTGTGTTCAGCTGTCCACTGATGTTGTTTTAGCAGCAGTTCTGACATGGTCCTAAGTAGTGGGTGGAATTGGACACAACTAGATTGAGGAGAAAATTGGATAAAATCCCAGTTAAAAAAAAAAAGAAGCCTGCAACTCACTTGAAACTCAGCCGCAACAGTTGCAAGTGTCCCACTTCATGAAATAAGTTTCATGAACCAGCCAATAATGCATCACACGATTGATATAACCGCAACAATCGTCCATAAAATAAAACAAAAGATGGTTTACTGGGTGCTTGAAAAGGAGATGCTCCCCCACCCTGACACAGTCACTCACACTGATTTTATGTAAGGTTGGTATGTTTAATATTGTCAGTTTCATGAGCCTTGACAACAAACATAAGTTTCTTTAAACTAAGGTTTCTGTAAACACCTTAACTAGCCAGCTAACACTGACAGCTTTTTAAACGTCTGCTTGTGTCAGTGTTTATTCTTCTAAACTGCTGATTCAGATAAAAAAAAACTCATGTATAGTTATATATAGATAGATGTGTAGATAAAAGACAGATATGTAGATATAGAAAAGAAAAATGCAATGATAGCTAGAAAAATATACCAAGATGATAAAATATGTAATTTAGATCCAGCAGATGACTTTATATAACAAGAACAATACAATGTGTCAAAAAATAGTAACTGGGTAACTGAATGTGTTGTGTGCAACTTTGATTTGAATTGCTTTTGTAACTGTGAAGTTGCATATAAATTAGGTTGCAGGCAACTTCAGTTTCACCGTATAAAGCCAGGCTTAGTCTCGTAGTTCCACATGTACAGAGATATCTTGGCTGATCAACTATTGTGGTGATGAGGAAAAAAAGGACATTCAGATTTGCTTTAATGCCATTTTATTAAATATTTAATTGTATGTTTATTAATGATTTTTTGTTTCTAGTACACAGTTTAATGATTTTTTTTGCCAGGTTCTGTGAGGTGGCCAAAGAGAACGGGATGGATATCTTCCGAGTCTTTGACTCTCTGAACTACCTGCCCAACATGCTGCTGGGTATGGAGGCAGCGGGAGCTGCAGGAGGAGTGGTGGAGGCAGCTATCTCCTACACAGGAGACATCTCTGACCCCACGAGGCAGAAATATTCGCTGGACTACTACCTCAAGCTGGCCGACGAGCTGGTGAAAGCTGGAACGCATATACTTTGTATCAAGGTGCTGAATGCTGTGTTCTGAATTATATATTCATGCATTAGAATGCTAAAGACCATCTGCTGAGTGTTGCTCATTGTGTTTGTAAGCTCTCTGAGTTAGGTGTTCGCTGTATTTTGCTAATGTTTACTCTGTTTCACTCTGTCCTCACTGCTGCTTTTACCACTTTACTACCACCTACACATACTATACTGCTGCTCCAGCGTCTGTCACTTTTTAATGCATATACATATTCTCTGTCTCTCTGTCAGTGTCTGTGTCTCTCTAACCAAGTCTTTTTCTAATCCTTTCTGCTGCTTCTCGCTCCCTCTCTTTCTCACTCCTTCCCTCCCTCTCTCTCTCTTGCTGTAGGACATGGCTGGGCTGCTGAAGCCAGAGGCGAGTCGTTTACTGGTCAGTTCTCTGAGGGACCGTTTCCCTGACATGCCAATTCATGTGCACACTCATGACACAGCGGGCGCCGGGTGTGGCTGCCATGTTGGCGTGTGCTGAAGCTGGAGCGGACATTGTGGACGTTGCGGTGGACCCCATGGCTGGCATGACCTCACAGCCCAGCATGGGGGCCATTGTGGCCTGCACCAAGGGAACCAAATATAATACAGGTGGGTTCTAAGTTTACAACAGCTAGTCATTAAAGTTGACTGGTCATCAAGGCTGTCGATTACGGTGGACAAATTGACGCGTTGTTTACTTAATGTTCATATAACACAAACAATTATTCCCACAGACTGCAGTATAATACAGGAAGCATTTTGAGTTATGAGTTCTGTTGTGTCGTGGCACCATAAGGGAAGAAATCACTTGTTGCACACACAGATCTTTCAATAACGTACGCACTTTGAAGGGAGAAACCTCAAAAGTCATAATATTTGATATATTTGTTGATGAATCAAATAATAGTCAGTAGATTAATAGAGAATGGAAAAGATCTTTTATCCTTATGTCAATAACAATTGATGGTTTTTCAAAACTTTGACAAGTCTTTCATGTCTGTCAAACTTTAAGATCAGTCCACCCAGTCACATCCATAGTTCTTGGGCTGACGAACTAAAAAGCTCAGTAGCACGAAGAAAGAAGTACCTGTGAAAACATTTTATTATACCAAAAATAAACTGGCTTTACAATATGTTCATTGTGGACAAAATAAGAATGTAGGCCAAGAAAAAAAAAGATTCTGGAAACCATGTTTACATTAATCAAACCAGGGAAATCTTTTATCAAGTGGGCATTACAGTGGTTTTCAGGCCTCATAAGGAGGAGGTTTGAGCTAGGACAGCTGACCTTTCATATGAGCTAACACTGGAGCTGGTCAGAGCAACTGTCCGGTGCTGAGGAGGACACGTGGTCTTTTTACATCTCGAGGTCTTTTAGCAAACTTTAATGAAACAATGCAAAGGTTGACATGCGTACAAGAACAAATAAATTCATCTTTACCCAGAGTGTTTTCAATCAGAAATATGAGTACTGAACAGAGCTGTTTGATCTGACTGATTTATCAAGCTAACTTTCAGCAGCTAAGTTAAAAAGCATAGTTAACTTAGCTAACTGATCGTACTATTTTTCTATAGCATTATTTCATCACCATACATGATATTATAATGAGTGTTAGCTACCCAGATTAAGGTTAGCTTACCTTAGAGCCTGTTTGTAGTTTTGACATTGAGCTGTGAGTGTGGTCGTCTGCATAGTTTAATCCAAAACCTTTTCAGCTTCAGAAATGAAATCAAAACAACACCATCGTCCAGATGATCAGGATGGTGTGTAATTGAATTACATGTTTCTAAATAACTTCTTTTTACCTCTCTTAGCCTAATAATTCAGACTATTTTACTGCCATCGCCTTTCTCACTGCAGATATGCTCAGAGGAGTTTGCCCTTCGTTTATGGAGAAAGTAACACTTGGAAATGGTAGTGATTGGCTGAGAGTGTGTTATTTTGCAAACAGTCAGTTCTTTAAGTGGAACATACCTTCCACAGAGCTGAATGAATGCAGTGAGGACCATGTTATTTACACACTCAGTTTATCAGAGTGAGTTTTGTAGATTGCTGCACACCTGCTAGTGCACCCACCTAGTGTGTCCCTGAGAATTGTTTCAATAAAATGCACACACCTCCACCTTGTTGATTAATTGATTGCGCTGTAGTTACTCTGTTTTTTTTGCCTTGTTATTTCTCATCAAAGCACAGCACTAGCTTGTGCCAGGGCAGAGTTGAGGAGAATACTGCGTGCAGTTTTGGAATTAATTCACTCTCATGCAGTGAGCATTTGTTGTCACCTCTTTGTGTTTGTAGAAGAACACTTACCCCTGCGTTAATGTCACCTGTTATGAAGCACCTCCATCAGTGCAAGAGGCACATTCCAAATAACCACATACTCCATTAAACCCATTTTATAACCACGCACACTTGTGGCTGTTTGCTTAATTGAAGCACCTTCTTTGTTCTGTGTGTTTTTTGCGTTAGCACATAGCCACGTTCATGTGCTCCCCTCTCCCATAACCTGGGGGCGAGGAAGGTCAGAGAATGTCAACCATTACTGAACGAACTCCTTGAACAGACCACAGACAAACAAAAGCTGTAATGAAAGGGCCGTGGAACAGGCGTGCACGAACGAGAAAAAGACTGCGTAGGGGTGAGGGAAAACGAGGGAGAGAGATCGAGAAGGGCAGAGAAGGGGCAGAATGTACGGACAGCATTTGGATGTGGTGAATGACCCCCTGACCTTTCCTTAATTGTGACATTACAGCAACTGCTGGTGCTTAACCTCAGTTTATGAGCTTGGCACCTTGCCTCGCCACACACACATGCACCCGTGTGTGTGAGTTGTATCTGCAGGCTTTTAGGTCACTGGACTGTCCACAGCTACTGTAGCCACTACACATGGCTGACTTCATAAGGCACCTCATTAAAACAGTGCCCCATAAAGCCTAATCATTAAGCACTCGTGTTGGGTAAGTAAACATAACTACATGGTGGTCATTTCCTGGGCCATTAGAGATTAACCAGCAATAGGTTATGTACGGTCACAGTCTAGAGAAGTCAGAATTAACTGCAGTGAGTGTGCACAGACTGCCTCTATACACACAGTACTTTTTAAAAAGAGACCTAGTAAACAAAACTGAATTTCTCTTGACAATTTCTCGTCATGTATAAATTACTTGTCATTGTATCTACTATGGATGCACCAAATTTTGGTCAAAAATGATCAAAAGTGGTCCTTTCAGTTTTTACCTAAAAGAATTCCCCCTAATTCCCCCTAAAAATCCCAAAATATTAAACAGATTTACTACAGTGTCGAGATCTAATGCTTAACTAGATCATTTAAATGGTAATAAAAACAGTGAAACACTAATAAAAACTATTTTTTCTTCTCTCCACCACTCCAGTCAGCACAGACATGTTCAAACAACCTGAGCAGCAGCAGATAAACAGTGGAAAAACAGTCAACCATGTGGAACTATCACAGTTTCTATAAGGGACATTAGTCAAGCTATTTATAGTCACTGTTTATGTATCAGAAGAGAGTACAACATTTAAAAAATCTCCTTTACAGGTTTGATTCGAAAACACAGCATCCCACCAGATTTGCAGAATACAGTAAAATAACAGAAACTGAAAGATCAGAAGTCCCCACTAGTGTGCCACGCCATCTGTAGCCTCAGTTTTTCAAATGACAAAACAACTCATGATAGAACTAAAGTGCAAAATATAACTAAAAAATACAGATGTCTCTGATGGACTACAGACACAGCGATGTAATGTCACATATCACAGACATTAAACTTTTGATTAAGTGACAAATTTAGCAGATTCTTTTTTTCCACTGATATTGTGGTGTGTTCAAGAAATGCTTCTGCCAGTTGGCTTTAGGTTATGCGTTCTCTAGCCTTTGTTGCATTTGGTGCTGGGGACACTTACAACTCTTACTTAAATTACAAGGTTTCTGCGGGAATCATTGCTGTGCAATGTCATGCATGTCCAGCTCCTGCGTTTGTGACTGTATCTGATCTTTTGCTTGAACTTGTATGGTCTCTACACTGTGCTCTGTGGTAGCCATAGTGGAGCTCCCCACCATGGCAGAAGGCCCTTCACCCCTACCCTGCCCCGTTTGCTGAGACAGCTGATGAGAATCAACACCCAGATAATGAGCTGTTTTTCACAGGGGAATAAATAACAGGGTAAAACACATCACACACAGACTAAATCAAGGCTTCACAGTTGTCTTTCAAAGAGCATAGACATGCGTATTAAATTGAAAAAATGAAGTAAAGTATGTCTCCTTTAAAAGTTGGGATATTCCTGATTGAATACATGTTTTAATCTTAAAGACATTGTTGATTTAAAGGATTCTGCTTAAATGCTCCAAATTTGTTTGTAATAGCCATTTACGCTTAGCCTCTTCAGCCCCAGATAACGTCCAGATAAGAATGATCCACATTCCATTTACACTTGGGCACATAAATGCTTCTCTGTTAGACAGATAGAAATCCGATTTGCTACAGTGCAGCTTTTCCCGCGTTATATGCAAATCCGAGGGATTCTCTTCCGGAATCTCTTTAGATGATGCGAGGCGGCACTGAAATCTTGTTCTATGCAGTTATGCATTTTATGAGAACTGAAAGGAGAAGCCTCTTCCAGTTTCTGTGCCACTTGTGGTGTAAGAGGAAACAGAAGTTGTTGCACTCAACTTGTCTTTTGTTGTCCGTGATTAATTTCACAAAAAAAAACCACTCTGTGGGAGAGAGAGCATGCGTCTTGGTTGCATTTACACTTGGCTCTTTCACAATAGGAAGGTGCCTGGGTGTCAAGTCATGTTTATTTATATAGCACATTTAAAAGTATCTGCCAGAATGCTGAACAATAAACCCAGCTAAAATTAAAGCATATAAATTGCCTGAATGAAACAGTGAGTTAAATGTTTAAATTTATTTCCAAAAAATACAAAAGTATTATAATTTTTTACAATGCTACCCCAGTACCAATGCTTTTAATTTAGAACTTAGAGTTGGAAAATATAGATAGATAGATAGATAGATAGATAGATAGAGAGATAGAGAGATAGAACTTTATTGATCTCGGAGGGAAATTGCAGAATATTGAAATAGAAATATTGAAACAGAAATATTGAGCTCCAGGCATTATATGGTCCAATATATTGTTATATTTAAATGGTTAGCAACAAGAACAGTGATTTTAATGCTGGATCTAATTTACTAAACCTGAAGCTCCCTCAGTTATAGTAGTGCTGTTTTAATTGACCTCATAGTAAAGCCTGATGCCAGTCACAGCTGTGTGCTGTGTTGTTATTGAGTGCCTGTCACTTTACGCTGACGTGTATATCTGGGCTATGGCATTTCAATCTCAGCAGTCTGTGGTAATTTGGGGAAGTTACAGAGATACTTTAACCTATCTGAGTTACATCACACATTACTTTGCAACCTCTTCTGATAATCCAGCTTGAATAGTACTTAGGCATGAGCAGAGTAGTGAGTAGGTGTGTCTCAATCTTTGACTGGTACTTTACATCTTTTCCCTCTTGTCCTGCTTCCTCACCTGTCCCTGAGCCATGCCAGTTTGCCTACTCTTTTCTGTCTGATTCACA